GAGTTCACCGGCCTCGCCGAGTACCTGGCGCTGTTGCGGGCCGCCGCCCGCGCCCTGGCACCCTTCGGTACGGGGAGGGGACAAAGCGTGAGGGGACGGGGCTGCGCTGGGGGGGGCCCAGCCGTGAGGGGATGAGGTGGCCTTAGGGCCCAGATGTGAGGGGACAAGGTGACCCCAGTGACTGTGGGGTCCAGGCGTGAGGGGACAGGGTGGTCCTGGGGCCCAGATTTGAGTGGACAAGGGGGCCTCAGTGACTGTGGGGTCCATGTGTGAGGAGACAAGGTGGCCTCAGGGTCCAGGTGGGAGAGGACAAGATGGCCCCGGTCAGTGTGGGGCCCAGGTGGGAGGGGACAAGGTGGCCCCTGGGACTGGGTATGAGGGGAGAAAGAGGTCTCAGTGGCCATGGGGCCCAGGTGGGAGGGCACAAGGTGGCCCCAGGGACCAGCTGTGATGGGACAAGGTGGCCCCAGTGACTTTGAGGCTCCGTCATGAGGGTACAAGGGGGTCCGTGGGGGTTTCAGCACCCCAGCATGAGGATCTGGGTCATCCTTTGGGGCTTTGTGAGAGAATGAGGCAGTCCCGGTGGGTGACAGTGTGCCTGAGGGAACCCCAGTGTGTGGGGTCAGCGCTGCCCTGCTCAGGACAGTGCCGGTAGGTGATGGGGGGGTCTCCCAGGCAGGCCCTGGGCTCCCTTAGTTGGTGTGAGGCAGGGGTTGGCGGCCCAACCGGCTCTGGTCCATCCCGGGGCTCCATGGGGTGAGATGGCCAGGCTGCTCGGTACGTGCCAGCAGCAGTGGGTGACTGCAGTTGTGTTTCTCGCAGGCTCCAATGTCATGTTTTACCTGGCAGCTGCTGTGTCGGATTTCTACATCCCCGCCTCGGAGATGCCCGAGCACAAGATCCAGTCCTCAGAGGGGCCCCTGCAGGTGAGGCACCCCTGGGCATGGCCCGCTGTCCCCTCCTCCTGTCCCAGCGTCCTGCAGGTGTCTTGGCTGCCTGGGGACTGACTGGGAATAAGACCTGGGAAAGGTCGCAAAGCAACAGCTTGCTGGCCAAAAAAATCATGTGTTTTCACTGGGAATGGGGAAGTGAATTTCCATGGGAGCAGAATCCCGTGGGAAGTATGCCTTTAAAGCTGTACACGCTTACGGCACAGAGCTGAGCGGATGGTGGATCTCAGCTGTCAATAGTCGCTGCTGGAGTACTCATGTTGCCTTCTTTCTGCCTAACGCTGAACACAGCCCACATCCCTTTCAGCTATGGGAGCAGGTGGATCTAGAGCTCTGTATATAACCAATACCAAATTTATGTAGTTTAATTAGCTTTTAACAAGTTCTGGGCTTAATTCTTTATCCTTATCGTAGGAAAAAATGAGACGCTGCCCGATTCCCAGTGGTAGACCCGCAGGTTAAGAAGCTGGAGAACAAACAACTACTTTTCCCCCCATGTTTTGGTGAATTTATGCTTCATGTGCCCTAAAGAGTTGCTAGAAAGAAGGATTAAGATTTCACAAGGTGCCTGGATTTTGGAGAGCTGAAAGCTCAGGCTTCTGCAGTTTTAATTCCTTTTTTTATCTTCCTCTGCTTATGTTTATATTCCCGGAGTGGGTTTTAGCTCTTAAATAACAAAATGTTTATGCAGTTACTGTGGGCCTGCTTCATCGCTTGAGAACACCCTGCTTATTGTTAATACCAGACTGATCATTTAATTTAATTTTACAGTGCATGCCAGTGACATTTTCACCTTGTTTGGTGAGATCTGACCAAATACTGCCTTGGAAAACTTCCCATTGTAAATATAATATGAAGTGAAGCTGGAATTCCCCTCGCCGTACACTCCCCCCATCTCTTGTTAAAATGCATTGTAATGTTTTTACTGAAACTCTTCTCTCCTCTTTTTCCACAATGCAGATCACAATGAAGATGGTGCCAAAAATGCTGTCTCCTCTGGTCAAAGAATGGGCCCCAGAGGCATTTGTTATTTCCTTTAAACTGGAAACGGATCCCTTGATCTTAATCGATAAATCGCGGCAGGCTCTGGAGAAATACCGTCACCAGGTGGTGGTAGCGAATATCCTGGAGTCCCGGAGAACCTCTGTTATTATCGTAACCAAAGACTCACAGACTCCGTTATCTCTTTCTGATGAGGAAATAGCGCAAGGCATGGAAATAGAGGAAAAGATAGTGAGCTATCTTCAGAGCCAACATACCGCGTTTATAGAGAAGAAAGTGTGAGGACCAGCTCTGAATGAAACAAGTGAAATTGTACTAGAGAGGGAGTGGAACTGGAGCAATTCTCTATCCCGGGTCAATAAAACAATCCTCAGTGAAACGCTGTGGGAAAGGCTGCCGTCCAAAACCGTGTGACTTTTCTACAGCTCGGTAATGGTTATTGTTGCTTGCTTTGAAAAAGAAAAAATACACTGAAGTGAAAATCTTCCAAAGGATGGTATTTGTTCTAGTGTCTCAGGAAGGAAAAGATACGTTGCTTTATTTCTGTCCCATGGGCTGGGAGAACTGGGAGGTGGCGAAACGGTACCTGTGTCTGTATAAAAAAGATTTTCTTGAATCTGCCTCTTCAAATTTGGTTTCTTTTCAAATTGGTGGATGGAAGGAACGGTGCTTTGCGGAAAAGATGATGTTCTCTTGTTGTGGCTGGAGTGGAGGGACACAGCTGGATTGCAGCTGGTGTTGAACGTGGACAATGAAACAAGCGTGGCAAAGGATGGAGGAGGAGAAACGAGGTGGCAACTCTGGAGAGAACATCTGTTGCTCCGGGGAACATCCCGTGGACCTGCGCTTCAAGAACTCTGCTCAGGAATACGTGTCAAAAAATAGGTACTGTAGCAGTGTCCCTAAAGCAACTGTTTCACAAAGGTTTTCCCTCCATCCTGGGTGTTCCTAGGGTTGGGGGGGGGGCGGAATAAAGGCAAGGAGATACGGAGCACGAGCAGTGTTGTCAGAGCGTGGCTTGGGGACAAGAGGTCAGAGGAGGAGCAGTGGCTGCTCCCACTGAAGGTGGGAGGTGAAAGCATGGGGCGGGGGGAGGCAGCCATCAGCCTTGGGAGGAGATGGAGGTAGAACTGGAACTTTCCTGTTTTTCTTTAAATCCTGCTTCCATGTGGTTACCAACTTCTAAGCATATATTCTTCATGCTTGCAAGAAGAAAAATGTGCAACTTTGTGGTTAAAAACTCTTACGTGCAGCTCTGCTGCTGTGCGTTGTGTGCCTGTTTACCTGCTTTTCCTGGAAATAGATTCGCTGGAAGTCTGGAAGGCGGGACAGTAACGCACCAGAACGCAGTTCTCGCTCTTGACGCCTCTCCAGAGGTGAGACTGTGCTCTAAAGCACTGAGCGTTCCAGAAGGTAATTTTTGTCATGAAGCTGGTCACCTGAAAATTGTGTGTGCTCATAAAATGATGAAAATAAACCCGGAAGAGCAAGAAAAAGAGTGTGAGGAGGGGCTCAGTGGGTCAGGAAGGAGTGCTGAGCGCTGAAGGACTGTCAAGGTGTGTGTGGAGGACATGGTTAGTAGTGGGAGACGCAGTGTGGGTTAGTCAGGAGTGCTGTGATCCGGCTCATAACTTCTCAGGAGAAAAAACTGACAACTTCTACATGGCTGGGAGCGATATTGCAGGAGGTGGAGAGAGAACTGGGGTGGAGACGGTCTTCCGTGGACGTGGGAAGTGCCCATCGGAGACGCGCAAGTGGGGAAGGAGAAGATGTTGACACGTCCTGCGCATGTGCTGCATGTGCCCACAAGCTCCGAGAGCCGCCTGTCTGCATCTTCTGGCACGTGAGGGAGGTGACCGTCGGGCCCTGCGAGTGGAGGGGTTTCTGTTGTCCATCTTCAGAGACTTGCACTTACAGGCGGGGCTGGGCCGGCAAAGGGGAGAACGTAAAAACTTGCGAGTGTTGAACGTGCCCTTGCAGGAGTGTTGGGACGAGGGGTGGGAGAAGTGCAGAAGATGCTGTTTTTGGAGTATGCTGGACTTTCTCTGAAAGGTGGTGGTGAAGGAGAGAAATAATCTAAACTTTTTGAGGAGAAGACTGGGACGTCCTCTGCCTGGGACCCTGCTGGAGTGTCGAGAGGCTGCGCTGTTCAACTCGCAGCTGTGGGCTTCCCTGCATCATGTCCCTTCCTCCTTCTTCAGGAGGGTGGTGAAGCCCATGCTTGGGAGACTTTAAAAGCTCAAACTAAGCCACAGCCACCCCACTGCAGTGCCTGTGATGGTCCTGCTGTGAGTGGGAGGTGGAACTGAGACCTGGAGAGCTCCCATCCTACCAACGCCTCTGGCACTGGCAGTGTGCAGGCACCCGCCCTTTTGGGGATTCTGGCTGTGGTACCATAAGTAGGAATTGGCTCCTGCAGGTTCAGGACTGTCTGTATGTCACTTTCTGAGGACCTCAGACTCTGCTCAGTTGAAGGTCCTCACCTCAAGAAGTGTCCCTCTTCTCCATGTCTTGGTCTTTCTCTACCGTCCTCTTGCGCGGTACCTTCAGCTTGTGAGTCGGCTCTTCAGGACGAAGCCTACTTTGTCCCTTGCAGTTGTTCCATCTCGGCTTCATGTACTTGCTTTACCTCGAGGGAAGCCCTTCATCTCCAGCAGCTTCATGTGGTGTTCAGAAGAAAACCAGAAAAAACATCCAGCCTGTTTTCTTAGTTTTTGGCGCCAGCAGAAGCGTTTCGGTAGATCCTTCGTGCAATGGACTTGAAGAGCAAGTGAAGACAGGGAAGCCCTGAATACCACCGGTTTTATGGCCAGGGGTGGGACGTTTCTCCTTCCTTGGTCACCTGAAGGAGAAGAGGGACCATCGCTACCGGCAGAGCCCAGTGCGTCTCTGCCCGGGCGGGGGCGTGTCCCAATGACCGAGGGGGCGTGGCTTCCGCGACTCGGGGCGTGCCCTCGGGGGTTCGGGGGGCGTGGCCTCCCGTGGGCGGGGCGGGGCGCTGGGGCCTCCCGTTGCCATGGC